TCTAAACAAGTAAAACAAGGTGAATACAACCTAATCTAATTATTTCATAACATTCCAAGCGGTTCTAAGAACTTTGGATAAGAATTTCCACGAAATGCCATTTCCCTGTTTAAGCGAAAACAGACAACCTATCACTAAAACATGAATAACTCTCACTGTGATTGGAATTTGAAAATGGAATTGGTACCATTGGAAAGCTGACTCAAAATCCATGAGTTTAGGCTCAAGAATCACCCCATTTGGGTTAGAAACAAAGGAGATATGGCCTTTTGAAGTTGGAAGATCAATGCTAAAACCAAGTTTGGAAGCTGCGCATATAAAAGCTATTTAGGTCGACCGAAATGGAGTTTTGGTTGACCGAAATGACCAAAATTTTTACTGAAATCAGGTTTTTGAAATAGGCCCAAATAGTAAAAATGGCTACTGGAAATGGACTTTTACTGTACCATGAAGTTTCCAATCGCCATTGGTTGACCGAAATAGAGTTTTGGTCGACCGAAACACCTCGAAAAGTTGTTGGAATTCTAGGAAAAAGGTCCTTGGTCCAATTCTAAGGTTGTGCATGCATTCCATATGATCCAAACATGCTTAGAAACATTCTCTAGCCTAAAAAGAACATCCCTAACATGTTAAAACAAAAGGGAACTTAAAACATACTCCAATGCATGAATTTTATATAAAACTTCATAATTCATCCATAATTAATTCAAGAGTCAAAACTTAAGAGTTTTGTGAGATGTGAGCAAGCATGCAAACGTAAAATGATGTAGTAGATGCACTACAATGGCCTATGGCCTCATTACAACTTAATTACAATTTTTGACATGTTAAACCTCTAATTTTCACAATAGGCTATATTTACAATACTTGAAGTTTTAGAATATGCTTGTGAACATCAAGTTAATGGCCCTTAGTCAGATGTTATACATACAAAACAAGTATCAAAAAGTGTACTTTGGTACACATTACATATTTCAAGGCAAAAATAGCATTTTTCACCAAAATGATACGACGTGCTAACACTTGTATGTTTTCAAAAATACAACAAAGTACTTCAAGGCATCAAAACAACTTAAGGATGTGATGCATCCCAAAACAAAGTCTCTTTACTTGCAAAATAACCCAAATAACTAGGGTGAGTAATCAAGTTACTCGTAGGATGTGGTGCATGCGCATACCCTATAGTTTCAAGTATAATGTCAACCAAATATCGACTATCACAAGGGTGCATTCCAACTAACGTCTATGTTACCATGGTACTCTATGGGATCATCACAAGCTATACAAATGTTGAAACGATAAACACGTAGCATCCAAGTATACATAAGCAAGTACACTAACCACATTAAAACTAAGATTACTAAATCACAAGCTACAAGAAATCCATGATTTACAACTTAGAAAGTAATGCAAAATCAAATAATGGAAAGACTAAGATATGTGGCCATAAGACCATACAAGTTATTTTGGGTAATTACGACCTACAAGGTACTACCTAGTGTGCACTATGACTTAGGAGAATTCTTACCCTTCGTACTAGAGCCAAACTCTAGCCATCAACATTTCATATCCTTACAGGCTTCCAAAAATCAACAAGTCCATGACATTTATATAATCTCAATGCATGAAACTACCTACCAAGCACAATTAGGGTAATACCACACAAACCATGCTCTAAGGTTTCATGTCTAAAGTGGCAAGCTAATGATACTACACATTCTGCTATATGAATTTAATATTAATGTAGGCCACAATTTCTAATCATGCAATATAGTAATTTACCTACAAGTAATTACAAGTGCTACATACAAGATTTTCATACTAGATTCTCAATGAAAACTGCATTTACTTAACAACATAAATTCAATTTCAAGACATTCGTAATAAACCCTCAATAAAATCATAAGTATTAGGCAAATCATTAAACAATAACCCACCTATACAATTTAATAGTCACATACATGCTTTAATCCACAATTCCTAAGTCAAGCATATAAAATCTCTATTTACATGCAAATACAAGAATTTAAAAGGCAAGTAATCAATATATATTAAGCTCCAATATATATAAAACCCAAAGAGGATAAACATACAACCACCCCTACCTCAATAGAGAATAAAATCTCTATAATCCAAGGCAACCAAGCTTAAAAATGAAAAACCAAACAAGGGTTTTATAGAGGAGAGTGAGAGGAAGATAAAGTGTTCCAAACTTATAAGTCTAAGGTGAGTGGAAGGGGGCCAAAAATGAAGTCAAAGCTAATAGTTAAGCTTTACTCCAATGGTGGCTAGCTTAAGGCTCTTGAGAGGAAAGAGATAAATGAAGAAAAATGTGAAAACCCTAAGTTAAAAGTGGTGGGATTCTCCACTCACTATGTGCTCTTGCACTACCTCTCTCACACACACAATGCAAAACCAATTATGAAGCCTACACTTGTCACCATCCTATGTAAATTTCCAAGACTTAATATTGAACCTACACTAGTCAACCATCCATGCCAACAAGTGCCCCTATCCTAGGCCAACAAATGGGTGAATCTCCACCCCCCATGTGTCAAGATATTAAGTCTCCAAGTGGTTCCACCACAAAACCAATAAGTGGCACCTTAGGAATGTGACACTTGTCACATTTTCCAGAAATTGCAGATAGGTCCTTTTTAAAAATATCTTCCAAATTAAATTGTAAAATGGTCCTTAAGACAAAAACTAATTACTTTATCTAATTACACCAAACCCCTCAAGTTTAGGATAATTACCAAAAAGTCATGCTTTCATGCACTTTACAAGAAAAGTAAACATTTAATATGCTTTTCTACAAAAGTAAAAATGTAGATATCATGGAAATGAAATACCATGGATGTATGCCAAGCCGGAATCAAATTTGAACCCAAAAAGTGAGGTTATGTAAGGAAAAATGGAAAAACGACTAAAGGATGAAATAGGAAAAAGACAAAAAAAAAAGAATTTCCGAAAAAAAGAAAGGAAGGAAAATGACCGGGTCATTACATTTCCATGGAGGAAAATCTGTGATAGGAGTGGAACCTAGCAAAGAATTCACTTCAGCTATTGAATAATCAATATCAAAATCTTCATAATTGAAGTGATTCAGACACGCTTCTAAAGGATCCTTAGATAAAATAGTTGGGAGTGATTCCTTAACCAACTCATCAATAACATCAATGAAGAAGCATTCACTATCATCGTGGGGATAATGAATAGCATTGAAGATGTTTAGCTTGACTTTGATGTTTCCAAAAGATAAATCTAAGGCTCAGTCTTATAGTTAATGCAAGCATTTGCTATGGCTAGAAAAGGTCACCCAAGGATAATTGGAATATACTTTTTGGAATTGTGGACCGGTTCTGTATCAAGAACTAGAAAATCAATCGGAAAATAGAACTTGTCCACTTTTATGAGTACATCTTCAACAATACCTTATGGTTGTTTGAAAAAACGGCCAGCAAGCTGTAGAACAACTAACGTAGGATTTACGTCTCCCAAACCTAACTTCTCATACACCGAGTAAGGAATAAGATTAACACTTGCTCCACGGTCAAGAAGTGCTCGCCCTATCATATTGTTTTCAATGGTGCAAGAAATTATTGGAGCTTCAGGATCTTTAACCTTTAGAGAAGTGTTGTACTTAAGAATAACACTAACATGCTCAGTGAGACAAATTTTCTTAGGAACTTGGTTTTTGGATTTTCTCTTTAGAGTGCACAAGTCCTTTAGAAATTTGGAATAGGCTGGAATTTGCTTTATAGCATTAAGCAGAAGAAGATTGATTTTGACCTATTTAAAGACCTCCATCATATCTTGAATTTTTTCCCCTTATTTACCAAAGTGGAGGGTTCCTTGGGAAGTTCAAAATAAGGCGCTTTTGGCTCATAAGCTATCTTAGGGTTAGGAGCAGATGAAGAAGTGACTCCATCTTCAACTCCTTTTGTTGATTGTGGAATAGCACTTAAGGAAACATCCTTGGGATGTGGATTATGAATGATAGGAATAATGGGAATCCTAAGTCTTTCTTTTTCCTCCTGTCCTTTCTCAACTTAGTTATCAACCACTCTACCACTCCTCAATGTAGTGATAGCTTGAACCTGTTCATGATGAATACCTGAAGAATTAGTTCCATCAATCATGTAAGTCTGCTCTTTCGGGTTGGCTATTAGCCTACTAGGCAGCTTTCCATCCTTTCTTCGAGATAAAGTACTCGCTATTTGCCCAACTTGTGCCTCTAGCTTTGCTATGGCTTGAGAATGAGAATTAAGAAGTTGAGTGTTGGCTTTAATTTCACCAAGAGCATTGAGTACTTGTTCCTCAAAAGTAGCATTTTTAGGAGGAGGTGGAAGATTAGGAGTTTGAGTAGATTGATTCTTAAATTGGGGTGGACGGTAAACTCCAGATTGGTTAAAAGAATTATTTTGTGGCATAGAATTGGATGAATTTTGATACTGCCCCTGAGATTGGGAAATAGTATTCCCTTGATTTGGATTACACCGTGACAGATTGGGATGATCCTCCAGCCATGATTATATGTAGAAGAATAAGGATTATAAGCTGGCCTAGAGAATGCAACATTCACTTGCTCCTGTGGGGTGTCAGATGATTGTCCCAGCATAGGGCAAGCGTTAGCTAAATGGTTAGAATTAACACAGATGGAACAAACTTCCTTTGGTAAGGCAGTTTGTGGATTAGCAACAAGAGCAAAGCCAGATGATAGAATTTGATCGAACCTACGGTTCAAGGCTTTTATTTGAGTGGCTAACTCATTAGATTTATCTACCTCATAAAGTTTTTTAACCTTATGCATTCTAGGTTAAGACCTAGACCTAAAGGAAGAAGTATGTTGCACTGAGTTTTCACTTAGGGCCTCAAACAGTTCCCAAGCATCAGCCGGACTCTTACGTAGAAAAGCTCCATTGCTGGAAGCATCAATCATGTTTCTATATGAGTTTGTAAGACTATCATAGAAAATTTGTATTAAGTGCCATTGAGTAATATCATGGTGTGGACACTTTCTTAGAAGATCATTGTATCCCTCCCACGCATCAAAAAGCTATTCTCCCGGGATTTGGGAAAATGCCATGATTTCTTTTCTCATTTGTATGGTTTTACCCACAGTGTAATACTTCTTCCAGAACTCCTGTTGCAACATGTCCTATGAAGATATGGAATTTGTTGGAAGGGACTGCAACCAAGTTCTTGCTTTATCTTTGAGAGAGAACTGGAAAGGACACATTCTGAATGAATCATTAGATAGAGTGGTCAACTTGGTAGTTGAACAAAATTCCAAAAACACATCCAAGTGCTTATAAGGATCCTCTGTTGCATACCCATGGAAGGTAGGAAGCATTTGGATCATAGCAGGCTTGATCTCAAAATAGGTTGCATCAGCATCTGGAAAAATAAAGCACGAAGGGGAAGTATATGTGGTAGGAATGAAATAATCCCTCAATTGTGGTTGTTGTGGAGGAACAGGTGGAACCCGTTCTCCATTACCATTACCACTATTACCCAGTGTATTATGTTGCTTAGCCATGTTATCAGAGGAATTCTCAATATTATTCAAATGTTTTTTAAGCTTTTTTAATTGACTTAAAGTTCTCTTTATTTAAGGATCATACACTAAAGGTTTTGAACTAGTTTGGCGAGTTAACATGCACTGGTTTCACTAATCCTAACAGTAACAAAAAGAAAATATTCTAAGCAGCAGAAAAACAATGAGAACTCACAAAAGGTTTAATAAATCGAAGCTTTTCTCCTTTAAGTATCATTATCCTCACCGCTAGTTTGTACCTGAAAAAGAAAAAAAAAAAGTAGGATAAGATATCAGAAAGTCCGAAGACCAGTAAACCAAAATAACTAATTAAAAACTAAACAAAAATATTCTCCCCAGCAATGGAGCCAAAAATTGATGTCTCTCGCAATCGTACGATATCGTGTATGATATAGCTCTATGCAAAGAGGATGTCGAACCCACAGAGAGATAGAAATTGTATTTAGCCTTTAAATTAGGTTTATGGTTTACATAAACTTGGTTATAGAGTTTGTTGGTTGTCACGATTTAACAAACTTAAATTAAACAAAATAATAAATTAAAGCAAATTAAACTAAATTGAATGATCAGAGAGGGAAGATCTTAGGGCTTTGACTTTACCACAATCGTTATACTATGGTCAATTGAATCAACTTTGGGATTTTAACTAATTCTATTTTCAAATGAACTGAACTCAATAACATTCGTTCAGTTTAGAGTTTAAAGAAAGATGTTTTGTAAATTTAGCTAACTATAACCTATCTACGGTTAGCGTGGACTATTCACCTACCTACTCTACCTACTTTAACTACTATGTGAATGAACCACCTTTCCTAAGCATAGATTATGAAAACGTTTGTTTGCAAAATTCATTGGAACACCATTATATGACCTCTATTCTTGTGTCCGGCAAGGCTCCACCAGATACCGTACAATAAGGTAGATTAAGAATAGAACATAAATTATTATATCTAAGACAAGGTAATAACAATTTATATTCTACTAAAGCATGCAAAACCACTTGAGTTGTCTCAAGTGCTCATAGTCAATCAAGAAAATATAATCTATTGAAATAAACCCAGAGTCAAAACAATCAAACCATAATATAACGTTGGGTTACATCAATGCCCTGAGAAAGGAATTAGCTACTCATGACAAGGTTGGATAGCATCTGTGTTGAGTTCATCTCCATCGTCACGGACAACACCTTTCTTCTCAGGATCTACACTTTCAAGGTTGTAGAAACCCTAAAAGCCACCACACCTTCAGCCTTCTGAATAATACGTAAAAGAGATTGTAATTTCTGACCTCTTCTATCAAGGCTTACGCCTTTTTTTATAGAAGAAAATATGTATTTGGTGGGCTTTTAGGTCTTCTGGTCGAACTGGAATGCGATATGGTAATAAAAAGAGAAATTCCGCAGCTTTTAGTCTGATATGTCATACATTGCTCGAGCTTCAGGAATGGATGCTCAAGCTTTAGGACTCATGCTTGAGCTTCAGGAACCAATGCTTGAGCAATACTGGGTCGATGCTCGAGCTTCAGTGAATGGTGCTCGATCATCACATTGACACTTAGCCAATTTTCTTTAACTATTTTTTGAAGCATCTTTTTCTTTTAACATTGCTCGATCCAAGCTTCTTAGGCTTGATCACTAGGTACCATGCTCGAGCATCTAGGGCTCAATACTCGAGAATCAAGAGATGATGCTCGATCCTTTGTTGATAGTGCTCGATCATGGAAGTGATGCACGAGACCTGAAAGCATAGTCTTCAATTCAAAATCAACTCATTAATTTCTGATGCCTCATGCTCGAGCTTCAGGGTTAAGGCTCGAGCACCTTTGGTTAAGGCTCGAGCACCCTTACAGTAAGGCTTGAGCATTTTTGCAGTAAGGCTGATGCTCGAGCATTTGGCCTTGTTTACTTTTCTTCTTTTCTTTGTTAAAATGCACGAGCCTAAACACTTTGGCTCAAGCTTTAAGGCTTCAGTTGCTTTAAACTTCACCAATTCAACTTATGGCTTGCTCTGAATGACCGGCAACGACTCGTTAAGCTTTGATATCAGCATAAAGTCCCAGTTTTAATCATTTATCTGGGAAAGTACCTGAAACACACATTAAGCATAAATTAGTCTAATAATGGATAGAAGTATCACTTTAGGCCCTAATATATACATATTTATGGGCTCGAATATGTATATATTCAGCGCTCATCAGCTGGCTCTGGAGCTGGGTCCTAAACATGAGAAGGACCTGCCTGCTCCTTTGGCTTCTCCACACACTATCAAACTCGGCGGACATAATGCCGGTTGGTAAATGTCTTTACCCTAGCCATGGTCTACAAAAAGAAAAGAAACACTTGTAACTGGAGTCAGTAACAGATAATTGAAGCACAATATATAGAAGCATGTATGTCAAATAAGATAGACAACTCAGAATGAAGTACATGAATCTAAGCAAGTGATGACGCAGCCAAATAAACAGTGACTAGGTGAAACATGCTAAACAGTATAAGTATGGAATGCATCCAATGTGGAAAATACAGGCATTGGGCATAAATAAGATAGCATGGAACACAAAAGATGGTGTGTGAGGTGTATATGCAAATCTATGATGTTCAATCGATTAGGAAAATATGATATCGATCCAAGTTGGATTGATTTGGACTAAGTGAGATCGATCTTTCTCTGATTGATCAGAGAAAAATTCGATCGATCGAACTGCTGTGAGAAATTTGAAAAGTCACAGATCTGTGACGTGGAAGACACATGGGGCACCCAACTAAGTTTGTGGGTCCCTCAACACATCAACAACTCAATAATGGTCACTTATCTTGGCACGTGACCCCCAAAATCAAAATCGGAGTCAAATATGTAAATATATATATATACATATATATACACATATATATACATGCTCAAGACATCAAAAATGGAAAGAAATCAAACATGGAATCTCAGATCTAACATGGAAACATGGGCATCACTCAAGTTTAAAGCTCAAAATCCAAAAATAAAACTCAAACTCATCAAATCAGGTGAGACATGTGGTTCAAGAGAAAGAGAGAGATGAGATCTGACATGAGAAATGAAGTTCGAAGACTTGGGATGCTCGCCAGAGGTTCGTCAGAGGTTGGGAAGGAGGTGTGCAGTGACGGGAGAGAGCTAAGGTCTTGGATCGATCTTTGGAATCGATCCAAATGACCCTTGGCTTCTATTTTTAAAAACTGCCTCCGACATGTTCGATCGATCACTAAGAAATCAGATTGATCAAACTCAGATCGATCATGAAGGAATTCAGATCAATCGAATCCCACAAAATAACACAGTATATTTGACAAAAGTTTGAGTTTTTGAAAATTAAAATTAAAATTATTTTTCAATTTTTGGAAATAAAGTAAAAGCAAATAAAATGCAATAAAATAAAATAAAATTATTTTTTTAATTTTGAAAATTTTAGAATAAAATAAAATTAAAATTAAAATCTTTTTGGAATTTTTGAAAATAAAGTAAAATAAAATAACATTAAAAATATATATATATATATATATATATATATATTTGTAATTTTGAAATTTAAAAATCAAAATGCAGTTAAAGTCAAAGTCAACAAAGGAACACAGATCGATCAATCCAAGATTGATTTGAAAGAGACTTCGATCAATCAAATAGGTGAAAACCTACAGACAAGTTCGAATGATGCACAGAGAGCTAATTTTCATGAGTTCAAAATTTTTTCTAAGTGTTAGAACTGAAGATTGATCTAAGAAAAAGTTGGATCGATCTTGGAATTTCAGATCGATTAAAAAATAACTTTGCACAATACACAGAGAGCTGATTTATGCAAGAGATCTTCGCACGATGGAACAGAGAGGTGATTGGAAGCAGGAATGAAGGTTCAATCGATCGAACTTCTTTTGAGATCAATTGAATAGGCACAAAATGCCTGTTTTGAAAATGAAAGTGCATGCATTGTCAATCATAGTTCCTAGCCATGTGTATGAACCCAAAATATATCTAGACGATGCAATAAATGAAAGGTAAAATATAAATGAGGAAGGAATAGGGTTGTAAACCTTACGAATGCTAGTGTTTAAAGTCTCTAGCAAGACGTTGAGCTCTTTTAGCCTGGATCAAATATCTTGTTATGCATCCCTTCCTTGATAGAGTGAACGGATTTTTGAATCCCACCCAACAAATGGTTCTTTAAAGAACTTATTGGATTTAGATCAAAAGACATTGATGGTCTTTCATCAAGGCAACTCTTGGGCTTCCATGCCTTTTCAACATTAGGTTTTGAAACAACATTTCTTGAATTCAAGTTTGAAGATAGACTTTTGGAAATTCCACTTCCAAGCAAGGACTCAACTTTATCACATTCATTGTCAAGACATTTTTCCACAACACATACTTCTTCATGTTTGTCCATTGAATTCGGGGTTGGATTAAAAATGTTTAACTTCACTTTCATATGCCCAAATGATATTTTCATTATCCCCGTCCGACAATTTATGTTAGCATTTGCAGTTACCAAGAAAGGACGGCCAAGGATAACGGGAATTTGGCTC